GAGTGAGCTGTCAAATGGTCCAGATGGAACTGTTAGCAGCTCCGTAAACTTAACTTTAATTGGTTATAAGAATGTCCATTGGGAGTTAACAAAGAGAGTCCTGGCCAGCAACATATAGCCATTGGAATGTAAACAAGAAACCCATTACAATCACTCACTTCATCCCATGGGCTTCACTGGCAATAAATAATTTAAGAACCCATCACTATTCAACAAACCAGCTGGATTTATAACCCAGGTTTTTCCAAAAGCCTGGTGCCATGGACCATTTCTGTTAACGGCCAAAAATGCAGCATGTATAAGTTTTCTGTTGTTTGTGAAAGTGCAGGACTCCCCGAACCCCACCAGCCTCTGTTGGTAAATTTTCATGGTAAACTCACGACTTTGGAGAGAGGCCCCAATGGCAGTATTTTTGCTTTGCAGAAATCCTATTGGATAAGTGTGCTTGTCCTATTTCTCTGGAATTTACTCTTCATACTCTAAATTGTTCACTTTTATCTTTGACAGAATATTTTAAGTGAACCGAAAAAGTCTCTTACTGAGTTATTGTTCATGTTTATAAGCATAGATTTCTATATTCTCAATCAATGTAGTTGTTTAATCAAATCAGAAGCCTTAGGCTGTAGATAATCCAGTTACCTGTCTAGTCAATAAACCAACTGTTTACAGCACTTCTGCTCTAGTACATCATAGTGAATAAAAATATTTTCTTTGCTAAACATGGCTTCAAAATATTATTGTCTTGTTCTGGTATTAGTGTATTTCAATAGTATCCCTGGATATGAAACTCAATAGAGTATCACTTGTCTAATGCCAACTGATGCTGAACAGTCATTAGACTAGAAATCTAACTAATTGTACCTACAACTAACCAAACAAAAACACTTCTGTAGAGTAGATTGACACAACTCAAACTATAGTGAAAGTTCATGGTCGAACGAAAGATTGTGGTTGAATTAGTTTGTTATTTTGTGAAGAAGTTACCCCCTCATTGTTACAGCTACCTTTCATTAAATTACTGACATACCATTTCAATAATTGGTTTTGTTCGCAACAGTTAACTCAAAAGTGTTATTTCTTGAGTGCCATTATGCATAACAAAGGCTCCATTAATTCCATGATCTTGGGGAATTGACTACCCTGGGAATTCTTATACTGTTCAGAGCTTTGGACAGGTTTTATAGTTTTGGAAGGAAAGCCTAAACATACAAAAACATGTGCATTTGTGGAACAAGAAGAACTTCAGGATTGACATCATCTTTACTTTGTGCTCTCTCCAGGCATTATTGTACCATGTAGTTGGCTACTCTATTCAAGAAACCTCTTCTTGCTGTCAAATCGCCATCTGGTATTAAACAACAGAAAAGTATTTACCGAATAATTTAGTTAAACTAGCTAAAAGTCTATTATTAGGTGATAATAATATGATTGATCATAAATCAACCCCATAGAGGGCGGCAGACTGGTGTACAACACTAACAGACACAGTACTGATCACAGAATGTTCAACATAAATTGGTCACATTTATTATAGTTGTATGGAAGTTATTTTCCAACTCTGTCATGAAACCAAACCAACCAACCAACTAAACCATAACTCTGAAAGGTAACTTACACTATTTTTTTTTTACATTGATTATGTTTATTTATCAAACCAAGATTTTATGAACATTATGTGCTAAAAAATGGCTTCTACAGAGTAACAATTTTAAACGTCAGCCAGCATATATTTAGAACTTATAATATGGTGGAGAAAGACAATGTAGCAGACATAAGGATAAAGCTGTACGGTAGAGGAATGCAAAACATAAATGAAAATTGTTCCAGGTAAATGTATGGCAGCACAGAACATTAGATACACCTACTATTAAAGTATTCGGAAATAAGTTAAAATATATATATATATTTTTGTGTTTTGCATGGCATAATAAAAAGTAGATACACCCTGTAAATGGCGCTCTTAAAAAGAACAGCTGCATACGTTTTCTGTTTGTGAAAATGACTCCCCGAACCCCACCCTCTGTTGACTCATGAGTTTGACTTTGGAAAGAGGCCCAGTATTTTTGCTTAATACAGAAATCCTATTTTATAAGTGGGCTTGTCCTATTTCTCTGGAATTTACTCTTCATACTCTAAATTGTTCAATTTTATCTTTGACAGAATATTTTAAGTGAACCGAAAAAGTCTATTACTGAGTTATTGTTCATGTTTATAAGCATAGAATTGTATATTCTCAATCTATGTAGTTGTTTAATCAAATCAGAAGCCTTAGGCTGTAGCTAACCCAGTTACCTGTCTAGTCAATAAACGAACTGTTTACAGCACTTCTGCTCTAGTACATCATAGTGAATAAAAATATTTTCTTTGCTAAACATGGATCCAAAATATTATTGTCTTGTTCTGGTATTAGTGTATTTCAATAGTATCCCTGGATATGAAACTCAATAGAGTATCACTTGTCTAATGCCAACTGATGCCGAACAGTCACTAGACCAGAAATCTAACTAATTGTACCTACAACTCACCAAACAAAAACACTTCTGTAGAGTAGATTGACACAACTCAAACTATAGTGAAAGTTCATGGTCGAACAAAAGATTGTGGTTGAATTAGTTTGTTATTTTGTGAAGAAGTTACCCCCTCATTGTCACAGCTATACCTTTCATCTAAATTACTGACATACCATTTCAATAATTGGTTTTGTTCACAACAGTTAGCTTAAAAGTTTTATTTCTTGAATGCCATTATGCATAAGAAGGCTCCATTAATTCCGTAATCTTGGGAAATTGACTACCCTGGGAATTTTTACTGTTCAGAGCTTTGGACGGGTTTTATAGTTTTGGAAGGAAAGTCTAAACATACAAAAACGTGCATTTGTGGAATAACACTAGATCCAGATCCAGTTGTGGGGTGGGGAACTATGCCTGCCCCCCCCCCCCTGTTTTGCCACAAAATTTTTAATTTTCAAGGCTTATATTGATATTAGCGCTCTCACTTATCTATTCTGAATACAGGGGTGGATCCAGAGATGCCCAAACTGGGGTGGGGTCCCCCGGAAAGGGGAGCCAAAAGTCTGGCTGATCAAGATAACAATACCCCAGGGGGTCCAGGGCCGGGCATGGTTCCCCCTCCTCAATTCCCCATCTGGTTTTAAACAACAAAAGTCTTTTACAGAATAATTTAGTTGAACAGGAAAAGTCTATTATTAGGTGATGATAATATGATTGATCATAAATCAACCCCATAGAGGGCAGCAGACTGGTTTACAACACTAACAGACACACATTACTGATCACAGAATGTTTGACATAAACACACGTGGAACACAGGAGTAATTTATGAGTGACACACGTGTGATAAGCTAATGAATGACTAATGAAGAAGTGACCTATTTGACCTTTGTTTATCCAAGCATTATGGCATTAAGTAAAATGCATGCTCTGCGAAACTTACCACCTGCATATTTCCCGATGCCAACGATGTTGTTTATTACCAGAGAGGTTCACGGTTAAAAGTAAGCCCTAGCCCATGGATTCAAAATGACAGCCTAATTTTAGCAGTTATATTTTTTAATCCCATTTGTTTTGTAATTTGATATGGACTTTTTCTGAAATATATGAAATTGATTAATTGATAATACTGTAGTTGATTAATGATTGATACCAATAGTTTTATTTGAATTTTTCATTAGACTGAAAACCTTTTGACAACATTTGAATAATTATGACCTGAGTGCAAAATGAAGGCAATAAAACAGAAAGAAAAGACACACAACTTGAGACAGACACAAATGATGCAGATGCTGGAAATATCTACAGTCCTTGGGTCCTCCAAGTGACATCTGCTGCACAAGACAGAGTCGTCAATGCAAGTCAAAATTCTTTAGGGGAGCTAGCGTAAATTGCACTATAAGGTAATCAATTACATTTATTATAATTGTATGGAAGTTATTCTCTAACTCTGTCATGAAACCAAACCAACCAAGCAACTAAACCAACCAGCCAACTAAATAAACCAACCAACTAAACCATAACTCATGGCTCCTAAATATTATTGTCTTGTTCTGTAATGGTATTAGTGTATTTCAATAGTATCCTGGATATGGAACCTATATATATATATATCACTTCTCTAATGCCAACTGATGCCGAACAGGGTAGTGAAAGTTCATGGTCGAACAAAAGATTGTGGTTGAATTAGTTTGTTATTTTGTGAAGAGTTACCCCCTCATTGTCACAATTACCTTTCATCTAAATTACTGACATACCATTTCAATAATTGGTTTTGTTCGCAACAGTTAGTTCAAAAGTGTTATTTCTTAAGTGCCATTATGCATAACAAAGGCTCCATAATTCCATGATCTTAGGGAATTGACTACCCTGGGAATTCATACTGTTCAGAGCATAAATTATTAAATTTCTCAGCTGTGTGTTTAAAAGGTTCATAAAATTTATGACCATTTAATACACTGTATCAGTATAGTTTAATTTATAAACACTACGTACTTACACACTCTTCATTGGTTTTTTTTCTGTATAATAGACATTTACTTAAATTCTGTATAGTGAATGCAACAGTTTACTGTATGAACAGAAGAGATGTGTATAAGAGACAGCCATAACAGTCTGTTGTATTGAAGAACTTCAGGATTGACATCATCTTTAGCTATTTTTAAGCCACTAGGTGAAGATTACTCCAAGGTGACACCATAAGTGTCTACAGTTTGTGCTTTCTTCATCCAGGCCAGTTGTACCCATAGTTGGCTACTCTATTCAAGAAACCTTGCTCTCATTTTGACATCCAGTTCTGGGTCAGCCAGGACATCTTAAACAACACGAAAGTCTTTCTGACAGAATAGTTTAGTTGAACTGGAAAAGTTTATGATTAGGTTATGATCATATGATTGATCATAAATCAAGCCCACCAGAGGGCAGCAGACTGGTTCACAACACTAACAGACACTTAAGTATACTTCATATCAAAGGTCAACTTCGTTTGCATATATGCTGCATGCGTGTCATGATGTGCACGTATGTATGCGTTAATATTTGAAATTCTCGAAATCACTTTTTGGCTAATTCAAAGCCATGTTTCAGGCCTTTTTGAGCATATCAAACTGTTCTGAAATTTTCATGCTGTGCACAAATAACGGGTCCTGCGTATCACTTAATTTGTCGGTGACGCATTTAAACCTAGTTTAGTTTATTGTTATATTCTTAATCACTGTGGTTGTTTCATAAAATCAGAAGCCTTTATAGGCTATGTAGCTAATTCAGTTACCTATCTAGTCAATAAACTCAGTTGTTTTTATAGTGCTTATGCTCCATTCAATCACAGTGAATACAATATTTTTATGGCTCCATTGCACCTTAATATTATTGTCTTGTTCTGTAATGGTATTAGTGTATTTCAATAGTATCACTGGATATGGAACAAAATATAGTATATCACATTTCTGATGCCAAACAGTCATTGAACACACTAGAAATCTAACTAATTATGTACCTACAACTCACCAAACAAAAACACTTGTAGATTAGATTGACACAACTCTAAGTATTTTACAGTGGAATTTTTTGAACAGATTACAATAAAATTGGGTTCAATTATAGGTTCACAGTTAAAAGTAAGTCCTTGGATTGTTAGGTCCAACAAAATGACAGCCTATAAAAGATACAAAAACTGTGGTTTGTGGGACCACATCTGACTGTTTTTAATAGGCAAGCACATATTTCTGGCTGTCTTTTAATTGGCCATTTCAAGCTTTGCTTTCTACATCTAGGTGAGCTCCCAAATTTACAGAATATAATTATGTTCTAATATTATCTTTGCTGTTAAGAAGTGTAATTTATCCATTGATTGAATAATGTAAGTGTGAAAAACACTCTGTAAAGATGTGTTGTACTGAAGAATGATTGACCATCAAATCCAATTTCAAACCACAAGTGATTTTGTGGTTTCTTCATCCAGGCCAATTGTACGTAGATGGCTATTCTATTCAAGGAACCTCCTTGCTGTCATTTCGCCATCAAATTGTGGGTCTCCCTTGACATCTTAAACCACAGGAAAGTCTTTCAAAAATATTATAGTTTATTTTCATTTCAAAACATGTTAAATATGAAAGCAAGTATGAAACTTTTCTGAAGACTACTGTATTCAGAAAAATGAAAAATGGGAAATTTTCTTCCAGGTACTTTCCAAAATCCTCAGGGGCTAGCCCTAATTTTGCAGTACTCAGCTAGGACCTGTTTAGTTACTTTATCCTATTTTACCTAAGTAGCCTCAAATTTTGTATGGATATACGGGGGGATCCAGAGATGTCCGAAAGGGGGAACCAAAAGGAGTAGCAAAAGTGGGGCCGATTGAAACAACACTACCTAAGGGGTCGGGGCCTGAGGCATTTTGGGCGATCAATATTTATTTTTCTTCCATTCCTTCTTTCTTTTTTCTTTCTTTTTTAACTTTACAAAGGTTGGAGGGCGAAACCATCCTCTAAATCCACCACTGGGATATTTGCTTTCTCCTTCAGCATCCTGATTTTTTTAATGGTCAAGACTGATATCGTGGCTAGACAGTTGCCCTGCAAACATATTTCTTTGTAATTCAGATAGATGTTTATTACTTGTTTATCTATCAATGATATCATAAATTATTAAAGTTCTCAGCTGTGTGTTTAAAAGGTTCATAAAATTTATGACCATTTAATACACTGTATCAGTATAGTTTAATTTATAAACACTACATACTTACACACTCTTCATTGGTTTTTTTTTCTGTATAATAGACATTTACTTAAATTCTGTATAGTGAATGCAACAGTTTACTGTATGAACAGAAGCTTGTGGTTGAATTAAAGTTTGTTATTTTGTGAAGAGTTTACCCCCTCTATATTACACCTGTCTCTTATACACATCTAGATGTGTATAAGAGACAGGTGACACGCGTGTGATAAGCTAATGAATGACTAATGAAGAAGTGACCTATTTGACCTTTGTTTATCCAAGCATTATGGCATTAAGTAAAATGCATGCTCTGCGAAACTTACCACCTGCATATTTCCCGATGCCAACGATGTTGTTTATTACCAGAGAGGTTCACGGTTAAAAGTAAGCCCTAGCCCATGGATTCAAAATGACAGCCTAATTTTAGCAGTTATATTTTTTAATCCCATTTGTTTTGTAATTTGATATGGACTTTTTCTGAAATATATGAAATTGATTAATTGATAATACTGTAGTTGATTAATGATTGATACCAATAGTTTTATTTGAATTTTTCATTAGACTGAAAACCTTTTGACAACATTTGATTAATTATGACCTGAGTGCAAAATGAAGGCAATAAAACAGAAAGAAAAGACACACAACTTGAGACAGACACAAATGATGCAGATGCTGGAAATATCTACAGTCCTTGGGTCCTCCAAGTGACATCTGCTGCACAAGACAGAGTCGTCAATGCAAGTCAAAATTCTTTAGGGGAGCTAGCGTAAATTGTACTATAAGCCAAAACAAAAAATAAGGTAATCAATTACATTTATTATAATTGTATGGAAGTTATTCTCTAACTCTGTCATGAAACCAAACCAACCAA